GTACACAAACTACTGCATAGTCTAAAAAGTATGGTCTAAAGTCCTGCCTTCACTGTCGAACCGCGATATACTTGAAAAAACATTGAACGGATTCCCATATGGCTCTCATACAGATTATTATTCTGATTCAAAGGGTTTTTAATTTTCGAATTTTTATTTAAAGGAACTTAACTGTAACCAAAATAAGTAGGAATATTTGGGCATTATGCTTGCTGGTTTTTCTCCGCGAACTCAGGATAAATTATAAGTATCTTACTTCTAACTAATAATTATAACGCGACTCCGTCCACGTGGAATAAAAAAGTAAGTAGCCTATGTCTTCCAGACTATCCTCATCATGCTAATATTATAAATGCGAAAGTTTAGACGGATGAATGTTTGTTAGTGTTTGTTGCCTAAACAGCTGAACGGATTTTGATGAAATTTGGCATGGATGTAGAGGATGGTCTGGAAGTTCTTCTGGAAGAAGCGTGCTCAAATAGGCTACCTAATTTCGCTTTTTTTTAAATTCCGTGCCGACGAAGTCATGGTCAAAAGCTAATAGTGTTAGGAATAAAATTAGTACCGTGCTATAGAATTGGCGCAACCCTAGATTATCGGCATAAACGTCACGTCCCTAGCTGACAGCTGTCAATGTCACTAGAAGTATGGATAGATTTGGCGCGCATTCAGAGACTGGCGAGAAGTATTGCTCTGAGTTTAAAGCGACAGTATCAATTAAATAAGTTGTCTAATAGTAGTTTATAAAAACATTTCCGTTTATGGATTATCAATGAATTTTCGGATGTTAGATAACTTATCTATATCACATACTATCTAATATTTTGATTTCTCAGTATTTTTGTTTCGATATTTATGGAATTAAGGTAATTAGCATGTAATTACAATGCACGAGGGGCGAGAATTGCGTAAGTGTTAACGTGCTCGATGAATACGATTACTAAGGACAGGGCCACACTAGATGGAAAATATTGCATTGACTATGATGGGTACTAACTATTACGAGTTTGTAGCCTGAACAACTAAATGGATCACGATGAAATTTGGCATAGATGTACAAGATAGTCTGGAAGAAGTAATAGGCATACTTTTGTCTTTTTTAAGAAGTAACATGCCAATAAAATAGATTAGCTTGCATGCCAGTTAATTAGAGAGGACGAGACGAAATATGTCAGTGTTAACCTCTAAACTTCGTATCTCTCAACTTGTAAGCCTGTAGCTGTCACAAAATGTGCTACTTACTGTTATTCCAGTAAGTAGCACAACATTATGTCCAGATTATCCTCTATATCCATGCCAAATTTCATTGAGATCTGTTCAGTAGTTTAGGTTAAAAACTCAAACAAACATCTATTCATCTATAATTTAGTATTTACTAGCTTTCCCCGCGACTCTGTCCGCGTGGTATTAAAAAAAAAATAAAAATAAAAAAACCCTATGAGTTCTTCCATACTCTCTTCATCTATGCCAAATTTGATTCAGATCCGTTCAGAAGTTTAGGTTACAAACTCTAACAAACATCCATCCATCTATAATTTAGTATTTACAATATTAGTAAGATTATAACAATGACAATTCGCATGCGCTCGATATCGATTAGTCGTAATGTCCGGACATTTGCATATTTTATCTCTGTCCATGTTATAGCGGTTTACATTGACTACGTTGTCTATAGTTAGACGATTGTAAATTGCTGAGATTAACTTGAATTTGAAGCAATGATAGCTAACTGTTAAAGATACCGACCGTAATAAATGACGTCATAGTTTAAAACGAGTGTTAATCTATTTCTATATCTATACTATCTATACTATAATAATAAAGCGTTAACACACACTTCGTTGTTACCTAAGATGTCGGCAATTACAGCATATTTCTGAATATTTTTTTTTTAATAAAAAGCCATACACTTACGTCACGCTTTTTAGGCTATATATTTTCACGCTATTAAACTTAGGAGGTAAATGTGGGAGACCATTAGTTGCTGCCAACATCATGGAAGCAAGGTTGTCATCGTCATGTCATTTTGACATTTGCAATTGATAATTTGACACATGTAAACAACAAAATAAAATTTTCTTAATTTTATGCGGATGAAGTCGCACGGGAGCAGCTAGTTGTGAATACAAGTGTATTTTATAATTAGGTATGTGGTTAAATTATTATGAATATTTAAGGGTTATGACGAATTACTTGACAGGAAATTTCAATATTCTCTATGTTACTTTTATAGGTTAAAATAGAAAAGTAAATCTCACCGCAACAGGATACGAGTTATTATACACGAGGTTTTAAAACTTTATTAAAAAATAAAATTTATCTCTGATAAAATAATATCAAATGCCGTTCTTGAAAAATAGATATATGCCGACTACATTTTTCAATGGAAATTATTAACAAATCTTAGATAGTTTAATTAACAAACTTATCTTTATGAGGCTCTAAACACTTATTTCAAAATTTAATTTGATGTAATGATTGTGTCGAGTAAAATGCTAAAACTTTTACAGCCTTACAAATAAACACGATATAAAGTTAAACATAGCAAAATTTGTACTAATATTTGTTATGCTCAGTTTATTCCTAAGGTTAACTTTATACAAATAAATAAACATAATAAAACACTATTTTTTTAATACCGCATTTATTTGTAAGGCTATTAAACTATATTGTCAACTAGTGTCATGTATAAATATCATATTGAATTCCGCTATACACGAGAAAACCACCTGATAGACCTTTCTTCTCTTGTTCACCACTCCTTATAAAGTAAATTATTTTCCAGGGTCTCGTCGTCGCGCCGGCGGTAGGGCTGCGGCGCTACGTAGGGC